CTATCATTAGAATTAGAAAAACATATTCTACAATTTTTAATTAATATTTAAAAGCTGTTTACTTAAGAAAATATTTTCTATTTTTAATTAAATAAAAAGTTACCAAAAGTTTTATATATAATTTGAAAATTGTATACTCTACCCTTAAAAAATGTTATTTTATTTCTAAATAAAAAATTTATATACAATGCCTTTCATTCTTTATTTATAATTTTGAAATGGTTCAATATTTACAAAAATCAAGTAGTTTCTTTGCAATGAAAAACTAAGCTCAAGTGTATCAAAAGTTTTATGAACAAGGAATAAGAAAAGATAATTATAAATAAAATAAGCTTAAATAATTAAATAGATTGTTTAAAAAAAGTGACAATGGGTTGTTACAACAAACCTGTACAATAATACAGTTATTATATGGATATCTAGGTATAACTAATTACACAAGGTTTATATCTAAACCATATGACCCTTGGCTACATAGCTTGAATAAAACCTGTATGTAATTAGTTACACTCTGATATCTATACAATAACTATAACTTAACTCTAAATGTCTAAAATATTTTACTGATAAATTGATTAATTAACTTAATAACTTTCAAATAATGCATAAGCATAAAGATGATTTATTATCATTAAATTATCCAATTAAATCATAATATAAATACCTTATCTTCAAATACTTATACTTGAAATATTTTACTAAAAAATTGATTAATTAACTTAATAACTTTCAAATAATGCATGAGCATAAAGATTATTTATTCTCATTAAATTGTTTAATTAAAATTATTAATATAAATATCTTATCTATAAATGTTATGCATTATTTTTAAATTCTGTCAATTATTAATTGACACATCATTTTTCAATTAAAAAATAACATACATCATTTTTTAGTCAGTATAAAAAAAAAAATTAGGAAAAATATTTGTACATATAATATTTAACCAAAAATATTCAAGTTTATAAAAATCTAATAATGGAACTAAAAATGTTTGCCTTGTATATGATAAATTTTTCTTTCTACAAGAGCAAGATTTAGTACTGCAATTCATTTTTCAGCAACTGCAAGAATTTGGATGAGTCTTTTGACTTGAACTATTATTATTTGCACTGTTACTTCAATTCAAATTATATCAGTAAAGATTTTTTTTCCAACCCTCTCTAGAGGAACACCATATAATGATAGTTTCAGTAAAATTTTAATTGAAATTCAAAAATTTTATTTACTTCAGAAATGTATGAGTTAAGTGTTCTTGGGTCATTTTTACATAGTATAAATTGTATAACTCAAGTGTTAAAAATTATAAGTTTGATGTTTCTGAATATTATAAATTAGATGTGTAATATTTTGCTTGGTAGAATTTTTTAATATCTTAAGACATTCATTGCAACCTTTTCTATCCATTAAACTTCATTTAATTTTTTTTCATTTGATTTTTTTTTCATTTAATTTTATTTTCGTTTAATTTTTTTTTGTTTGATTTTTTTTTTTATTTATGTATATTTCCAATATTCAGTTAAAGTCTCATGGGTCAGAGAAGAATAATAATATAGATTCATTAATAGAAAAAGAAAAAATATATACATGGTAATAAATATTTTTCAAAATTTATTTATTTATCATTGGCATTATTAATAAACTATTGTTGATTATAATATGATCTGCATTAAGAATTGACCTGGGCCATTTATCAATTGGTAGAATTTGAAAAATGACAGGTGTTAATTAATAATCAATGTAAATTAAGAAGTAGTACATAACATAAATACTTAACTCTCTAAATATCTGAAATATTATACTGACAAATTGATTAATCAACTTAACTTAAATAATGTGTAAGCATAAAGGTAATTTATTATCATTAAATTGTCTAATTAAATTATTAATATAAATATCTTATTTCCAAATACTTAACTCTGAATAGCTATTAGCATGTCTAGATTTTGAAACTGTCAGTTTATGAGTCTTCATAATTTTGGATATTGTGATTATAGACTTGCAGGATTTTGGAACTGTCAGTTTATAGGTTTTTGGGATTTTGGAACTGTTAGTTTATGAGTTTTCAGAATTTTGAACTGTTAGTTTATGGGTCTTCAGGATTTTGAATCTCATTTTCAAGATTTTCAGAATTATAGATGCCAGAATTTTTACTTTATAGAAAAAAAGAACTTCAGAATTTTTACTGTTAGGATTTTGAAATTATCAATATTTTAACTTGTCAAGATTTTTTAATATCAGAATTTTACTGTCAGTATTATGGATTTCAGGATTTTGATTTTCAAGATCCAGTTATAAATCCGTTAAATATAGCAACTAGTAAAGAATTTTTAAGCAGACTTCTTAAATAAATAATATAAAAAGTTACACATATAGTTAGTCATACACTTTTTCTATAATAGTTTTTATAGAATTGTTATCTAAAAATATTAATAAAGTCAAAAAACCAAAAAGGTTACCTTAATGCCAAAAAAAAAATCTAATTACAGTTATTTATTTATAGTTTTAAATTTCAAAAACCTTATCTTAGTTTTTATTTTGTTTTTAATCATTTTATATAAAACTTTTAAGTTTTTTTAAGAATAGAATATAACATTTTAAATTTATATATAAACTTGATAGTATATTTTTTTTGTAATCTCAACTGCGAAGATTTTTATTAATTAAATATTTTTTGAGCTTATAAGTAAAGTTGTAGAGTATGTTTTTGTGATTCTAACAATAATAAAATCATTAAAATTGATTTAAAACTCATCAAAATATGAATTTTTAAAGATTAAATATAAAAATTTATTATTAAAACTCTCTTATAGGTTTTTGGAAATTATTCAATTAAAGTTGACCCTTTTGTGTAACTAGGAAAAAACATAGAGCATCCAGAAAAAATTCAAAATATATACAAATATAAGGCCATATAAAAAATTTTTTCTGTTTCTCATAACTCGGCCGGGTCATAAAACTTGAGTAAAAAAATTTAAATTTTAGAGGCGCAGCATAGTATTAACCAATCAGATTCATCAGTATGCAAAAGACTATTTAGTTAAATGAATAAACCAGGTTGTCCCCGTGACTGTAATCACCTGACTTGTCGTTCTTTTTGAAATTTTATTGGTTAATTACTCAAAATTCCTATCTTTGTGGACACCCTCGTCCTTGCATGTATAGTACAATTTTGATCTAACTACTTCGCTCTCTTTTACCAGTCTCTTTAGGTTTACTAATTCGTTCTAGATTTCATTTCAGTAATTAGTTTAAACTATGTGGAATTTTATGATCTATTACAAGGGACACACCACGTTCGCTACTCTTAACTATTCATTATCTGAATCAAGTAAGCAGTCACTCTAATGCTAACTTATTACATTGTACAGGTCGCATTCTGTATATCAAGCTTTTACGAATTAAAAAGAAAAATTGATACTGTACAGGCACTAAATAACTCCTACTCGCGTTATTTAATTGACATGCACATTATTTCGGGTACGATCATGTGCGTTATTTCGAAATAAAGGTGAATCTGGGCGATTGATGAATATACAAGTAATCACTAGTTATATTTGGATGCATGTTAATTTGAAATACGTATGCTATTTTTGAAAATAACGTTATTTCGCGCTTTTATGGCAATTTTCTATCCATTCATTCAAAGAAATAGATAGTATTAATAAACCATTTTATTATTCTGCTAATAAATGAATCAACATTATTTTTTACTATAGAGAAAAAAAATTTTTCATCAAATTACTATTTTCTAGAACAGTGTCAAAAATTTGAAATTTAGTGCACAAAGTGCACATGTCTTTGATTGTATATACTAACAAATGTGTGCGCGAAAAATTATGTGCGGGGTGCACATACGCACATCAATTTTTTTTCACTGCTCGAGAACTTGCTGTGAATGTTTTTTAGTCTTTTTACCTTTGACAAATGAATTCTGTCGTTTAGCTGAACCATTCGAACTAACACAGTTTTCGCATTTAGGTCATTTTTCATTAGAATGAGGGGTACGTCTGGTATCTTAAGGAACAGGCTAATTGACATCAAGGCTACCACACAGGTAACAAACATTTGGATAGATTGATGCTGAATAATATGGTTTTTCAATTGGAGAGTCACAGGTTCAAGAGTCATTGATGAAAACGTACTTAAAAATTTCCCTGATAGGGTCATTAACTGCATCTTTTGTATTTTTGTTATTAGGTTCTTTAGGACAAGTATTGTCCATTTCATTAATTTCATTTTCTTGATCGCTTTCATCACTTTGTACATTTTCATCACCACTTTTATCACTTCGCATATCATCATCGCTTTCATCACCCTCAATGTTACTGGTATTATGTTCTTGGTTAAAATTGCTAGAACCAGAAACAGAATCATCATCGTAACTATAGTCATCATATTCAGGAATTTCACCTGATTCATAATGTTGTCTAGGTGGCATAGTAAGCGATAACTCACAGGTATTTTGAAAGGCAGTTCCGCAGGTGTATAGGATTGTATTGAGAAATCGACAAAGTATTTGATGATCCTTTTCCGGTAATTTTTTTGCACTAAATATAGTCTTGGTTTTTCACATTCTGCGCAACTAACAGTAATTTTAACATTTCTGGCATGCAGTGCAGAGGGACAGAAGGGCATTGTGTGGTTCACTTTTCCTTTACCTCTTCCTCTTGTTTGAGCATATTTTGTTCTAGAAATTGCTTTTTCGCGTGAAGGTCTGTACTTTTTCGTTGTATCAGTGCCATAAAGTTCTCCAAAAGATTTATAATGCGAATCTTCTCCAGGAACAGGATCAGGAAGGTTGTATAGTTGAGTAAATATTTCACGTAGGCATCGGGGTGGTAGGCAAATTGAACAACTATTCTTATCACACTTTTTTATCATAAAAAAATAATGCCTTGTCATGCAACAGTGGTCAAAAAATTCTTTCAAGCATGGCTTTTAAAAACAGTTATTATTGATTTATGTTTTTGTTAGATTATATTACAGTAAACTATGAGACATAATGGGCTATAATTTAAAAATTTCGTTATATCCATAGTTGACTGTATAAATAGATCTTTACCTGTTGTTTTAAATTTTTCATTTCGTAATCATCATATGTTATAGTGTCGTTGATTAGAAGAATGTTCTCCCAAAACTGTTCTATGTCTTCGTTCATTGCAGCATTAAATGTTTTAAAGGGCACACCTTTTAAGGATTGACGTTCAAATATTTCACGAACAAAACTAATTGGCTCCTGGATACTTTTTATTAGTTCATCTCTCAAGGTAGAGTTTGATTCTGCAATTTCCCGGATATCTTTCATAGAGTTTGCTTTATTAATAAGGTTTTTGTATTTATCATCCATTTTGCTACGCATCAACCCGATGCATTGTAATCCTAGATTGAGTGTCGACATTATACATTCAACAAGGTTCTTTCAAGAATACGAGGGTGGTGTTCTTGCTGCAACGAGATAATCAAGATCAAATGCTAAGAATAAACAAATGTAAGATAACTGAACCCACATATATGTGCACCGGTGGTCAGGACCACTGTCTGTGTAAAGGTATAAGATGGGATTGGGTATTTTTGTGTTAGAAAGATGTTATGAAGTTCAGTCATATGGCATAAGGGAGTGGAGGGCTGAAAAATAGGGTCTTTAAGACCAATGCACACTTCTCCTCTGTAAAAATCTCCATCGATTGTTTCAGGGATATCACAAAACATTGTTATGCTTGGCACCATTCCGGCCTTTGCAAAATCATGATCACTTACTGCGAATGTCGTATCTTTTCCTACTATTACTCATTTCCCCCTTTCCACTGCTGCTATAGGATGACCAGGTTCTCCGATTTTACATCAGTGCTTATCATCCAGAAAAACAAGTGTTGTAATGTTGCGAAACTTAATAGCAAACTCTTTTTCATACTGAAAGATTGCAGATGCATAGTGAGAATCTGGATGATTGGCTCATAATTGTCGAGTTTGTACCATGAATTTTAAAGGTAAGCGAGCCGTATATTGTAGACTAGTTAGATGTGTCGGGTTTTTAGGCCAGAATTGTAACCTGAGCCATTGAGCACTGGGAATTGGCATATCCAGTGGGCATTCATTTTTGAGTTGTTGAAGTAGATCGTTTATTGAAATTGCTGTAGCAAGGTGTACAATCGGATCATGACATCGTTCGTCAACTGCAGTTACTAGATCTGCTGCTTTCCCCGAGAGAAAATGGGCTGCTGCTTCCCAAAAGGCATTATATTTTTCTGGTCTTCTCTTATTATGTTCCTGAAGGTCAACTGTAATATCGGGGTCACCAAGCTCTAAAACTAATTTTACACGACTATCTACCTTTTTTTCATTTGCAGATTCAGCAGCTGACATATCTTCTGTTAGCATATGATAAATTGTTCATAATGGAGCTGGTTTAACCATAGGCAACAGCAAATCACAGGTGTGCATGAAATTAGCTCACATGATGCGTGTATGGTATAGAGGTGCTTTATTCTGTAACTCTCTTGTAATGCGCGTTGTTTCTTGCACAATTTTTGACTAAGTAGCATTTTCATCAATTTTCCAAATTGATATAACATTGTAAGCATTATTCCCAGAACTATAATGGTATTCGCCGATCTTAAAAGTAAATGCCTGTGAGAGGCCTTGAATAAAACGTAAGTGTTGCCTAAAACAAAAGATAAGCCATTAATTGATGTATTTATAAGCGCAGTATATATTAAATTATATACTTACATTGGTTCTTTTGGTAGATGTTCTTCAAGATTTATTGGTTTCCATGTTGGAAAATCTTTTAGGATATTTTCGAGTTTTTTATATTTTATTTTATTAGACGAATCTATCCAAATATTACTTTCATATATATTTACTGATGTAGCTTTTTCTATACTTCGAACAGGTGTTTCTTTTGTATGATTTGAAGTTATTACATCCTGCTGCTTATGTAAGTATTTTGCATAATTGGAAATCGTAATTACAAGGTCATTGAGTGCAGTGTATAACCAGCTAAAGTTAGAGGAT